TGAAAATAATGTGGTGTGTCAATATGCAATGAGTCCAGGATGGGCTTAATGGATGAGCCCTGGTTTGCACAATAGGGTTTTACCAGTGTACACTATGGATACTTGGGGATTATGACAATATCAATAGGTGAAGCTCACTTAGGGCATGGATACTGGATTTCTCCCACAAATAGCCCCGGCCTTATCAGTGGGAGCAGGAGAATTGTCAGAGTTTGGCGGTGCACAGCAGAAGGATTGCTAGATCAGCAGACACTGTGTTGCAAAATAAGGACTCTGCAGGCTTTGAGTTACAAAAGAAACTAAGTTTACTAAGCACATTCAATAGACACGTCTTACTACAGCGAGCTACAATACAGGAACTAGTCAAAACGAAAGTCTCTTCACGTCTGCTTATCTCTTCTTGCTGAGACTAGTTACTCCCTTCTGTTCCCAGCAAGAGCAAACCTTATCTTACTCCTCTCAAGGTTACATAATCATAGCCTCATAGAATAAACATTCTGCACAGCATTTCTAATACACAGTGGAATCCATCTTGGAAATACATAGAAGCACATTTAAAACACATACATAACTAAATTAATCCTGACAAAACTGACCTGAGGAACTCTGACATACATCCATTGAGTAATCCCCTCACTTCCAGTTCATTGTGAGGGCATTACGGAAACTAAAGGAAAGGGTTTTGGGTGCAACCAGGCAACAACCCAAAGGCAATTTATAACAAAGGTTTAGTGAGGCTTGCTGGATTTGGTGGAGTAGAGGCTTCCATTTCATAATTCAGGGTTCTCATTTCTTGATATCCTTTTTCACTGAGCCATGGATTCCCATGATATGTCCAAAATATGACAGCCGTGGTTTAGTCATATTGTCTTTTTGGGATTGTTTAGGCTTGATTTGCCCTGAAAAACACCACTTTGGCTTTTAAAAAAGCAATCTACTGTATCCAAAGAATTCTTTTCCAGCAGCATCTTTCAAATGAGATGATTCTCTTCCTGTCAGCTTTCCTCACTGTCCAGCTTTTGCAACCATTCATAGAAATGGAGACTACAATGGCATGGAACAGCTTAACTTACGTATTCAGTGATAAATCTTTACATTTTAAGATCTTGTCTCATCCCTTCATGGCTGCCCTTCCAAGACCTCATCTTCTTCTGATTTCTTGACTACAGTTTCCACTCTTGAGTAGTAATTCAGCCAAAGCCTGGAAAATCTTGAACTATTTCTGTGTCTTCATCATCTACTTGAAAGTGATGTAAACCATCTGTGGTCATTATTTTTGTTTTCTTGATGTTCAACTGTAAATCTGCCTTTGCACTTTTGAAATTAGTGGGAATTTGAGAGGAGAGCTTATTCAATTGCATCTCAATCAGGTTTTAAAGTACTTCATTTTAAACTATGTGGTAAGGCACGGCATATCCCATGTCAGGAGAATGAGAGGAATCACATCCTTCGGCATTTGACAAATGAAAATCAGATGAAGCAATTTCAGAGTGTGGTCAGAATGGGAAAGGTTATGACTGAATTTCCATACTCTGTTCCACAGGGCAGTGTCACCACAGATAAGGCCCTATTTATAACACTGACCAACATGTATATTTATATTTATATTTTATTATTGTCGAAGGTTTTCATGGCCGGAATCACTGGGTTGTTGTAGGTTTTTTCGGGCTATATGGCCATGTTCTAGAGGCATTCTCTCCTGACGTTTCGCCTGCATCTATGGCAAGCATCCTCAGAGGTAGTGAGGTCTGTTGGAACTAGGAAAATGGGTTTATATATCTGTGGAATGACCAGGGTGGGACAAAGAACTCTTGTCTGTTGGAGCTAGGTGTGAATGTTTCAACTGACCACCTTGATTAGCATTTGATGGCCTGGCAGTGTTGGGGCAATCTTTTGTTGAGAGGGAAATGCTGGACCATTTTAACAACTACCATGTCAGATACACAGAGAAGCCATTGAAATCCACAAGCATGTGGACAATTTCAACAGAAAGGAGGAAACCATGAAAATGAACAAAATCTGGCTACCAGTATTAAAAAACTCTAAAATTACAACAGCAAAACAACAGAGAGGAAACAAAAGATTGCCCCAGGCACCAACAAGCCACACCAAACAACAGCCAGGCCATCAAATGCTAATCAAGGTGGTCAGTTGAAACATTCACACCTAGCTCCAACAGACAAGAGTTCTTTGTCCCACCCTGGTCATTCCACAGATATATAAACCCAATTTTCCTAGTTCCAACAGACCTCACTACCTCTGAGGATGCTTGCCATAGATGCAGGTGAAACGTCAGGAGAGAATGCCTCTAGAACATGGCCATAAACCTACAACAACCTATTTTATTGTTATTTACAGTATTTATATTCCGCCCTTCTTACCCTGAAGGGGACCCAGAGCCAATTACAGAACACATATATGGCAAACATTCAATAGCTATTATACAGACAAGTCAGACAACTGTATATAGATGGAGGTAACTATATAGGCTTTCCCATCTTCGACATCTTGAAGGCTTGCTCAGTTCTTGCCACCGGGGGTGCTGTTGCTCCACTTTCCTTGCCAAAGAGCTTTGTTCGTAAACTTCCTTCCTGGTTGACTTGCCAGCCTTTTTCTGGAATTTCGTTATGGGTGCCTTAAATACCTCCCTGCTTAAGCGGTACCTATTTATCTAGTCCAGGGATCCTCAAACTAAGGCCCGGGGGCCGAATATGGCCCTCCAAGGTCATTTACCCGGCCCTTGCTCAGGATCAACCTAAGTCTGAAACGACTTGAAAGCACACAACAACTACAACAATCCTATCTCATCAAGCAAAAGCAGGCCCACACTTCCCATTGAAATACTAAGTTTATATTTGTTAAAATTGTTCTTCATTTTAATTATTGTATTGTTTTTAGTGTTTTTTGCACTACAAATAAAATATGTGCAGTGTGCACAGGAATTCATTCATTTTTTTTTCAAATTATAATCCGGCCCTCCAACAGTTTGAAGGACTGTCACCTGGCCCTCTGTTTAAAAAGTTTGAGGACCCCTGATCTAGTTACATTGCTGTTTTTGAAACTGCTAGGTAGGCAGAAAGTGGGCTAAAGGCCAGGAGCTCACCCTGACCCAGTCTTCGAACTGTCAACCTTTCAGTTGGCAGCTAACCTGATGTGCTAAAGCCCAGCCCTATTTTTATGCCTCAGATGTTAGATATCTTTTTGGGTATATTTGAGCATTCCAAAAATTGCACCAGTTTTCACCTCTCAGTTCTAGTTTTTGAGATTTGGAACATATGCCATCTACCATTTGCCATCTGCTTACTCATAGAAAACCAAGGATTACCATATCTAAGAAACTAGAGCTGATGTGGACCATCCAATGCAATATCCAGAATGAGTGCCCCCAAATACCCCTGGGATAGGCGGAATATAAATGAGGTAAATAAATAAAATAAATAAATAAACCACCTCTGGGTGTTCCTTGCCTTAAAAATGCCAGTGGAGTTGATGGGGTTGGCATGAAAATGAAGGCATATACACACGCACACCCAAGAAAATTGGAACTCCGTTCAGGAGGGAGTATGTTTGCATGTAGAAGAACTTCCTAATTGTGATTGCTGTTCAACAGTGGAACTCTCTGCCCCAGAGTGTGGTGGAGGCTCCTTCTTTAGAGGATTTGAAACAGAAGCTGGGTGGCCATCTGTCGGGGGTGCTTTGAATGGGGTTGGACTAGAAGGCCCATAAGGTCTCTTCCAACTTGCCTGGCTTGAGAACAGTACATGAGAAAAAGGTCTTGGAGTCCTCGTGGACAACAAGTTAAACATGAGCCAACAAGGAGATGCAGCGCCAAAAAAAGCCAATGGGATTTTGGCCTGCATCAATAGGAGCATAGTGTCTAGATCCAGGGAAGTCAAGCTCTCCCTCTATTCTGCCTTGGTTAGACCACACCTGGAATATTGTGTCCAATTCTGGGCACCACAATTGAAGAGAGATATTGACAAGCTGGAATGTGTCCAGAGGAGGGTGACTAAAATGATCAAGGGTCTGGAGAACAAGCCCTATGAGGAGTGGCTTAAAGAGCTGGGCATGTTTAGCTTGAAGAAGAGAAGGCTGAGAGGAGACATGATAGCCATGTATAAATATGTGAGAGGAAGTCATAGGGAGGAGGGAGCAAGCTTGTTTTCTGCTTCCCTGGAGACTAGGATGCAATGGAACAATGGCTTCAAACTACAAGAAAGAAGATTCCACCTGAACATGAGGAAGAACTTCCTAAATGTGATTGCTGTTCAGGTTCTCCAGTGGGATGCTATGGTAACTTCTGGCAGAGGCATGCCATAGAACAGACATGGGCAAACATTGGTCTTCCAGGTGTATTTGGACTTCAGCTCCTACTATTCCTAATATTAGGAAGAACTTCCTAACTGTGATTGCTGTTCAGCAGTGGAACTCTCTGCCGGAGTGTGGTGGAGGCTCCTTCTTTGGAGGTTTTTAAACAGAAACTGGATGGAAATCTGTCAGGTGGGTGCTTTGAAGGCGATTTTCCTACTTCTTGGCAGAATGGGGTTGGGACTGGACGGCCCATGAGGTCTCTTCCAAATGTAGGATTCTATGATTTTGTGATTCATTCTACAGTGTAGATGCTCCTATAGCGTGGGACAAAAGAGGGGAAAGTAAACAAAAAAGGTTTCATAGGATAGCAATCAAATATATTAACGAAGATTGTTTTTCCTCCTAAGGAAGGAAGGAAAAACAAGACAGAGGCAGCAATAAAGAAAGAGAAAGCAATACGGTAAACAGAAAGGGGGGGAAGTGTGATGGAAATTACAGGAACAAGTGTGTTGGAACACAAAAGTTGTGTATGCATCGCCTTTGCGGTGTGTGCCAAGATGTTTATCAGTGATTCCCATTATGATCTCATGGGGTTTCTTGCGTGTCTGAAGGCCTCTGCTTCCAAATTGAACAGGGAGCAAAGGAGTGTCTGTGTGTGTGTGTGTGTCTGTGAGTGTGAGCGAGTGATGCACATATGCTTGCTCACACCCCGGCAGTGTGCTGAGCCAGAAAATCCAACGGCCAGCACTGTTCTCTCGCCTCCTCTCCAGGGCAGGAGAGAGAAAAAGACGCACAGAGAAAGAGAGGGAACGAAACAGAGAGGCAGCGGAGGAGGGCAGCTCTTCTCTCCATCAGCACCCAACTTTTCCAAGTAAGAAGGGAACTTTCTGTAGAGAGCTGGTCTGGCTAAATATAGCACGGTGAGTTGGAATCTATAGGCAAAAGGCATGAAAAGCTTCCTATGAAATACTAGTGTTTGCTACATTTGCAAAAGGAAGATTTTTTTGTCCTGAGCAGAACATGATTAAAAGGGGAGAATGCTGTCAGGGTGCATCTTCACTGTAGAATGAATGCAGTTTGACACCACTTTTAACTACCAAGGTGCAATGGAATGGAATCCAGGGAGCTGTAGTTTTTAAACGTCCTTTGGCAAACAGTGCTGGTGCTTCACAAAACTACAAATCTCATCATTCCATCACATTAAGCCATGGTGATTAAAGTGGAGACAAGAAATGTGTCTGATGTGTCACCAAAAGTTGGACAAGGGTTTTTTTAATCGTGTTAGAAGTGACTTGAGAACATACCGCAAATAGCTTCTGGTGTGAGAGAATTGGCCGTCTACAGAGACGTTGCCCAGGGGATGCCTGGATGTGTTACCATCCTGTTGGGAGGCTTCTCTCATGTCCCCACAAGCTAGAGCTGACAGACGGGAGCTCACCCCGTCTTGCGGATTTGAACCGGCAGCAGGTCAGCAGCCCAGCCTTATGGACTGGAGCAAAGTGCAATATATATCTCGATATGATGCCACATGGATGTGAATGTACATTGTAGTTGTTTTCTTAAATTTGTTTATCTTATGGTGCTTATATTTATTATTGATGCATTCTGATTGATGTTTATGTGATTTTAATATGTTGTAAGCTGCTTTGGGTCCCATGAGGGAGAAAAGTGGGATATAAATAAAGATTCATTATTATTTATTATTTGGATCAGCAGTCCAGCCGGCACAAAGGTTTAACCCATTGTGCCACTGCAGCTCCAGTTGGACAAGGGACTTTTCAGAATGCAAGTTCCAGAATCCTCCCCACCAGCATATCCTTACTGATGGGGTGAATTTGGGGAGATATATGTGCAGATACACTGTAGCAGTTTTGACACCCCTTGAACTGCTCTGGGTCTATGATATGGAATCATGGGTGTTGTAGTTTTACAAGCTCTTTACCTTTCCCTGTCAAAGAATGCTGGTGCCCTACCAAGCTGCAAATCCCATGATCCCATAACAAGTAGTGTCCAACTGCATGCGATGTATTGTCAAAGGCTTTCATGGCCGGAATCACTGGGTTGTTGTGTGTTTTCCGGGTTGTATGGCCATGTTCCAGAAGCTTTCACTCCTGACATCTTGCCTGCATCTATGGCAGGCAAAACCTCAGGGGAGAATGCTTCTGGAACACTGAAGTGTAGATGCACTCACCCCAAATTCTACGTTGGAGAGGCAGAAAGTTGTTCCTAACTGAGCATTCGCTTGACTCAAGCTCTGTTGGAATGAATGGATAGAGTGAGAGGATAGAATGGATGGGCAGATGGAGATAAGATGGAAACAAAAGTAAATTCTAGATGAGTCTTTTTCAATGCTTGTAGCATTTACCTCCCCTGAAAGAATTTAATAGTCTAGGAAGTCTTGTGAATTTATAAGCCGGGTGAGTTTTTCTGTTGCTTCATCATCTCCAGTTATCTCTTATCACTGGGATGTTGTGTATTTTCCGGGCTGTACAGCCATGTTCCAGAAATATTCTCTCCTGATGTTACACCAGCATCTATGGAGCCCCCGGTGGCGCAGTGGGTTAAACCCCTGTGCCGGCAGGACTGAAGACCGACAGGTTGCAGGTTCGAATCCGGGGAGAGGCGGGTGAGCTCCCTCTATCAGCTCCAGCTCCTCATGCGGGGACATGAGAGAAGCTTCCCACAAGGATGATAAAAACATCAAATCATCCAGGCGTCCCCTGGGCAACGTCCTGGCAGACTGCCAATTCTCTCACACCAGAAGCAACTTGCAGTTTCTCAAGTCGCTCCTGACACGACAAAAAAAACCCCCAAAAAACCCCAAAAACAAAAACCCGGCATCTATAGCGGGCATTTTCACAACCTCTGAGGATGCCTGCGATAGACGCAGGTGAAACGACAGGAGAGAATGCTTCTGGAACATACCCGTACAGCCCGGAAAATACACAACACCCCAGTGATTCCAGCCATGGAAGCCTTCAACAATATATCTCTTATCATCCTTCCAAGTGGTAGCTTCTACAGTTAGTATTTATTTTATTTATTGTGTCAGAAGCAAAATGAAAATACAGTTATAATGTAGAGAAAAACCAGTTTAGAAACTTGGCATGATACTACATTTCTATTGACCAGAATCTGGCTTCTGATGTTGTTGTGAGAAGGTCCTCCCTTGTGTATGTGGCAGGGCTCAGGCTGCATTGTAGTAGATGATCTGTGGTTTGCTCTCCGCACTTGCATGTCGTGGACTCCACTTTGTAGCCCCGTTTCTTCAGGTTAGCTCTGCATCTCGTGGTCCCAGAGCGCAGTCTGTTCAGTGCTTTCCAAGTCATCCAGTCTTCTGCGTGCCCAGGAGGTGTTTCTCGTCTGGTCTCAGCTACTGATTGAGGTTTTGGGTTTTAACCTGCCCCTTTTGGACTCTTACTTGCTGAGGTGTTCCTGCAAGTATCTCTATAGATCTTAGGAAGCTATTTCTTGATTTAAGGCATTGGCTTGCTGGCTGATATCCAAACAGAGGATGGGCTCGAGATGTCAATGCCTTGTTCCTTTCCTTACAGGCTGCTACATCCTGACAGATGTCAGGTGGTGCAATAGGCAAAACAATATAATTTATCCAAAGGTGTAGGACGTAGACATCCTTAGATATGTTCCAAAGTTAGTTAAAAAGAAGTTATGTAACACATCTTTCCCAATATATGTGTGTGTATGTGTTCTCCTATGTATTTTTATGAATGAAAAAAGAAAGCAGGGAAATTGGAGAGGGAAGAGGATAAGGTCTGAAAAACAGAACTTTAATGAAGTTCTCTTTTTGAACTTCTAACTTCTAGAACTTGACTATGGTGGCTTGAGAACTCTGGGAGTTGTAGATTTTCCAACCAAATAAAGAAAGGAACTCTTCTAAGTTCAGTTTCCTGGAAGAAAAGGCTAGATGGGTAACTTCGTGCAGGGAAAGAGACATGACCAGAAGGAGTGTGGCGGAGGCACCTTCTTATAAACAGAGACTGGATGGCCATCTGTCAGGGGTGCTTTGAATGCAATTTTCCTGCTTCTTGGCAGGGGCTTGGACTGGATGGCCCATGTGGTCTCTTTCAACTGTATGAAAATCACATTCAAAGCACCCCCAACTTATGGCCATCCAGCCTCTGTTTAAAATCTGCCAAAGAAGCAGCCTCCACCACACTCCAAGGCAGAGAGTTCCACTGCTGAACAGCTCTCTTACACAGGAAGTTTTTCCTGCTGTTAAAATGAAATCTCCTTCCCTGTAGTTTGAAGCCATTGTTCCATTGCGTCCTAGTCTCCAGGGCAGCAGAAAACAAGCTTGCTCCCTCCTTCCTATGACTTCCCTTCACATATTTATACATGGCCTATCATGTCTCCTCTCAGCCTTCTCTTCTGCAGGCTAAACATGCCCAACTCTTTAAGTCACTCCTCATAGCGCTTGTTCTCCAGACCCTTGATCATTTTGGTCGTCCTCCTCTGTTTCAAAAGAGGGAGATGGATCAAGGGCAATGAGGGAGATAAATCTTCAAAGCATCTCAAACTGAAATGGGCTGCGGTCCATGCAAACATTTGCCATGGATTTGGGAGTTTCTATCGTCTCACGGGCCTGTTTTCTGTTTTTTGCTACAAAGTACGAACAGGGCTATAAATTCTGAAATGGTTACGAAGGCAGCCAGCAATCAGGATGTGATTCTCCACTTATTTCCTTCCAATGAAGAAGTGAGTAATCTTAGCAATTATCTCCCTTTCATTAAAACAAGCAGCCTTCCAAAGCTGACCGGTTTTCAAAGACTGTTCGCCATGGCCATCTGTCAAGGAGTGCTTTTGTTGTGCATTAGGCATAGCAGAATGGTCTTGGACTGGATGGCCCTTGGCCCAAAGGCCAGGGTTTTTTTGGCAAGAGTTTTTCAGAAGTTTGTCATTGGCTGACTTTGGGCCTGTGAAGGTGTGACTTGCCCAAGGTCACTTACTAAGCTTCATGGCTGAGTCAGGGTGCAAACCAAATAAACAAACCCAATCTAAAGTTGACTAAACAATGATTCTTAACCCTTTTTGGTACTAATTTTGGAGAGTGGTCCCTGGTCAAGTGGTCCCTGGTCAAGTGGTCCCTGGTCAAAGTGGTCCCTGGTCAAAGTGGTCCCTGGTCAAAGTGGTCCCTGGTCAAGTGGTCCCTGATCAAAGTGATCCCTGGTCAAGTGGTCCCTGGTCAGAGTGGTCTCTGGCCAAAGTGGTCCCTGGTTAAAGTGGTCCCTGGTCCGAGTGATCCCTGGTCAAGTGGTCCCTGGTCAAAAAAATGTTGGGAACCACTGGTTTAGCTGGAATATTTTGACCATTGAGAAGATGACAAAAAACATGTAGCATTGGGAGGATGATGGAAAGAGGGCTGGACTTTCACTCCATCATGAAGATGCATCTGCTGTAGAATTAATGCACTTTGACAAAACTTTACTTGCCATTTTTTCGTGTCAGAAATGACTTGAGAAACTGCAAGTCGTTTCTGGTGTGAGAGAACTGGCCTTCTGCAAGGACGTTGCCCAGGGGACACCTAAATGTTTTACCATCCTGTGGGAGGCTTCTCCCATGTCCACGCATAGGGAGCTGGAGCTGACAAATGGGAACTCAATCCATCTTGTGGATTCGAACCACCGACCTTTAGGTCTTCAGGTCAGCAGTTCAGCCGGCACAAGGGTTTAACCCATTGTGCCACTGTGGCCCATTTTACTTGCCATGACTCGGTGCTGTTGAATCATGAAAGGTGTCGTTTTATAAGGTCTTAAGCCTTCCCTGCCAAAGAGGACTGGTGCCTCAACAAACTACAACTCCAAAGTCCATAGAATTGAGCTATAGTAAAAATGGTATCAAAATGCATTGATTCTACAGTGTGGATGCGACCATAGACTAAACTAGCAGACCAAAGAAAGAT